ATTTTTTTTACTGGACCAAAATATAAAATATATATATATGTGTTAAATAAATTGCCTCTTTTGATCGGACCAAAAAAAAAAAAAAAAAAAAAAAAAAAAAAAAAGTAAACATTAAAAAAAATGGAAGAAAAACACCCCAAAAATTTTTATTTATTGAAAAAATTATATCTTTTGTCAAGATTCAAAAAACATATATATATATATATATATATATATATATATATATATATATGAAAAAAGATGATTCAAAAAAAATTATCTGTATGGAATAAATTTTTTCTTTTGATAAGATCCAAAAACTAAAAAGGTTACTTCTATTGAATAAATTATTTCTTTTTATGGGACATAACAAAATTTCAAATTTTTTTTTTTCAAAATAGGAATTATTGAATATAGGAATTATTTCTTTTTCAAAAGGTTACTTCTATTGAATAAATTATCTCTTTTGATAAGATTCAAAAAAAAATAAAAAGGTTACTTTTATTGACTCTACTGAAAGTGATATTATTGATGATTTTAATATCTGACTTGCATTATTGACTCATTATTAGAGGAATTCCTCTACAAAAACTGCAATGTTTTATAATTTTTTAATACTTTGTATTTTTTTTTTTAATTTCTCTTTTGTTTTTTTGTTTATGAGTGTCAGATAGTCAGATAGATCATTAGCTTTAAATTCTTTAATCACTAATGCCTATCAAAGTAATAGATGTATATTAATGATCAAAGACTAAAGTATAAACGAAAGGGATACACAATCTAATTATATATAAAGAGACCTTATAGATATGCAATGTGATGTATACATAAAACAAATATATATATTAGTGCCTATCAGAGTAATAGATGTATATCAATGATCAAAAACACAATCTTTTACATATAAACGAAAGTGATACACAATCTAATTATATATAAAAAGTCCTTACAGATACGCAATGTAATGTATACATAAAACAAATATATATATATATATATATATATATATATATATATATATATATCAATGCCTATCAAAGTAATAGATGTATATTAATGATCAAAGACACAATCTTTTACATATAAACGAAAGGGATACACAATCAAATTATATATAAAAAGTCCCTACAGATATGCAATGTGATGTATGCATAAAACAAATATATATATATATATATAATTTGATATACATAGTGATTGAAACTTTAATAGACAACAAAAATACTAGATTAAGATAAAATCTAGAAAGAAGATTACAACTTAAATTGTCAACCTAAACCTTTCTCTCTCCCTCCCTCTATTTGTGAGTATATGGCCTCTTCAGTGTAGCTGTAGATTTTGATCTCTCTTAAACTCTTTATTACAAATCTTGCATATGAATCTGTTGGTTGCCATCAGAGTCTTGTGTGACAAAGCTATCATTTTGCCTCTAGATTTGACTCAAAGTCAAAACCTAGAAAAAATTAAAACCCAAATCAGAAATTTGATAATAATTAAGAAACCCATCAAATTAAATTAAAATTTGGAATTTAGATAAGGATTTGAGAGTGCCAGGAAAGTTTCTCTTCTTCACCAAGAATAAACTAAAACCCAAATCAGAAATTTGATAAATAATTAAGAAAACCATCAAATTAAATTAAAAATTGGAATTTGGATAAGGATTTGAGAGTGCCAGGAAGGTTTCTCTTCTTCTTGAGTAGTGATTGAGTTTGATTTGGTTGAGGTTAAGTACCAGATGCAGAAGTTAAATTAGATATGTTCTATCCCAATATAACTAGTTCTGTTGTTGGATTAATGTCAAACAATCTAAAGACAAAATTCAACGTACAAAAAGCTAAAAGAAGAGAAAACTGGATATACATATTTATATAGAGAGAGAAGAGAGTGGGCTGATGAATTTGAGTTCTTATAAGGAGGAACTTTATTGAACCCAAACACTATACCTGCCTCTTGATAGTTTTTTCTTGCTTTCGCCAGTGACACACTCCTTTTCATCTTCACACTCACTGTCAAATTTAATGGTTCAGATTGAGACCCAATTGCTTATTTTAGTGAACCCGAATCGAGAGCATGGTCACATGACCCCATCCGGATGTTGCTGCCACAACACCACCACCACTAGATCCATTTCCTCCTCCGACTTCAACCACCGTCGTCGCCGTTGCCGCCACAACAGCACCATCACCTGCATACACGAATTTCCCCCAATAGATTTCAGATATATACCTTGTATATATATGTGTGTATGTCTGAGCCGCTGCAAGTCAGCCCATCTCTCCACCACCGTTCCTCGTCGGACTCTTCTCTCTACCGTCACTCCATAACGAGCCACCATCATCCGAACCAGCCGACCTCACCGCCGTTCCTTCGTTGCCGGTCGGTCCTCATCGCCGTCCCGTGGCTGCAATACTTTCCCGGGATTTTTACATATAAATGGAGTTATGGAGCCATATTTACTCATGATGGAGTCAAAATCCTATATTTTCACAAAAATGAGTTTGACTTAAATGATCACATGGCACATGAAGTTTTACTGTTTAAAATTTTTGTTACCTAAAATGCCCTTCTCCCTATTCCAATGCATTTACCTTATCACCCTTGTTCAGAAAACATGGTACCTGAAGGCCAAAAAGTGGTACCTTCAGTTCAAAAATGTGGTACCTTTAGAACGAAAGTGGTACCTTCGTAAAAAGGAATTGTTTTTGCAATTGAAAATGACATTGAACCCCACACCGCTAATTAAGTTGCACATTACATCCATAAACAGCTCCATTAGCGCCATGAATAACACAAATTATTCTTCAAGCTAGCTAAGTGAGTGTTTAGAAAATATGGTACCTGAAGGCCAAAAAGTGATATCTTCTATTCAAAAACGTGGTACCTTTAGAACAAAAGTGGTACCTTCGTAAAAGGAACTTATTTTTGCAATTGAAAATGGTATTAAACCCCACACCGTTAATTAAGTTGCACATTAGATCCATAAACTGCTGTTGAAAAATTTATAAACCTTCTTATTAAATATAAGAGCCTAACATGCATGTATTTATTAAATAGAACAACCAAAATCCATTACTTTTCATTAAATCAAAACCATCAAGTGAAGTACCATGTCTACAAAATACTTTAAGTCACCACGAATGTCAAAAAAGTTATGATCCATTCAATCTAATAAAGTCAACAAAAAATAAAAAACTAAATCACTAAATTTAAAGAAAGCAATCATCTTTTGCAAAACAAGAACACAATTATTAAGTTTGAACATTTATTAGCCCCTATTCGTCCATACAAAGTCTTGACTGCAATATTAGCCCCCACTTATCCATACAAAGTCTTGATGGCAAGAATCGATCCTCCAATCACACTGTCAAAAAAAAAAAAAAAAGGTTACTACATTTAATTGTATCATATTAACGAAAAAATTAACCAACCTTAAAGAAGTAAGCGAAACGGAAAAAGTGAAGGAGAGGAATTGAAAACGTGGACAAATTTTCAAACTCTTAAACAAAATGAAAAAATATAATTAAATGCATAAGATAAGGCATTCCAGAATTTCTAAACTGGGGCATTCCAAAATTTCAATAACAAATCAGTATAATTATAATTGTATGCAAAGAAAAATATAATTCTAGACTGGGGCATTCTAGAATCTCAATAACACATTAATCTCTTTAAGTTATAATATATAAGATGTATGTTTGAATTCATGATAATTATTCTATTCTTATCATACAATTAATATATATATATATATATATAAGTAGCATCCTACAATTAATTAGGACCCAGATCTATATCAAAATTCTAAATGGTCTTCATGTATAAGAGGTCTAGAGACCAAATTGTCTCCCTATTATCATTGAAAAATTCTAAAGATTTAATTATGACCCAGATCCATATCAAACATGATCTTTGGATACCATAATTTTTTTAACAATTGCATTATTGAAATAGTTATTCAAAAGTCCCAAACAGCATTGCCGATTAAAATGGTGCGAAAAAAAAAAAAAAATTTACCATACCAACTATTTAGATGTAGTATCTGATAATTAAGAAATATTTGTGTTATTTATAGCGCTAATAAAGTTGTTTATAGATCTAATGTGCAACTTAATTAGTGGTGTGGGGTTTAATACCATTTCAATTGTAAAAATAAGTTCCTTTTACGAAGATACCACTTTTGTTCTAAAGGTACCACGTTTTTGAACTGAAGGTACCACTTTTTGGCCTCCAGGTACCATGTTTTCTAAATACTCGCTTAGCTAGCTTAAAGAATATTTTGTGTTATTCATGGCGCTAATGGAGCTGTTTATGGATGTAATGTGCAACTTAATTAGCGATGTGGGGTTTAATGCCATTTCAATTGCAAAAATAAGTCCCTTTTACGAAGGTACCACTTTTGTTCTAAAGGTACCACATTTTTGAACTGAAGGTACCACTTTTTGGCCTCCAGGTACCATGTTTTCTAAACAAGGGTAATAAGGTAAATGCATTGGAATAGGAAGAAAGGCATTTTAGGCAACAAAAATTTTAAACAGTAAAACTTCATGTGCCATGTCATCATTTAGGTCAAACTCATTTTTGTGAAAATATAAGACTTTGACTTCATCCATGAGTAAATATACCTCCCTAACTCCATTTATATGTAAAAATCCCTACTTTCCCCGGGTTTGCAGAGACATATATGATATATATGTATAATATATCTTATATATATATATATATATATATATCAAGGCCCAAGTTTGGCACTGCGTCGTTTAATAGTAAGGGCGAAATTGTCTTTTGCCTTTTCCGGTGATCAGATGGGGCTACTTGCAACAAAATAATAGTTTAGGGGAATTTTTTGTAGTTTAGGGAGGTTTCTTGCAAAACCTCAATAGTTCAGGGGAGTTTTTTGTATTTAACCCTATATATAATTATATATATACACAATAAAAATTAAAACTTATTATTGTATTATTAAAGAAATTAAGAAAATAAAAATCAGGAAAGAAAGAATTAAAATGGAACACTGTTTTTGACAATATATATTTTCTATAGAAAATTAGAAACCCTATGTTCCCTTCTTCTTTACTCCCATTCTCAAAGTCGCCTCCCTTAACTTTCCAAAAAAAAAAAAAAAAAGTTCGCCTTCTCTCTTTTCAGCTTCCATCGCCCGTTGGTCCAGATCGGATTCGCCGTTCACAATTTCCATCGCCCGTTGTTCCAGATCGGATTCGTCATTCGCTAGCTTCAGCCGCTGGCAGCTATCTCTCAACTGTGAGTCATCTCTGAAAAATCAAGTTCAGATTTAGATTTTGTTACTGTATTCTTGCTTTTGGTTGTTGAGATTCTAGTAATCTACAAGATATTTGAGATATATATATATATATATATATATATATATATATATATAATGTTGAACTTGATTGTGTTGAACGGTTTCTCAAAGCAAAAGGCAATAGTGTGAAGAAGGCCACAAAGCAACTTCGTGCTTGTCTATCTTGGAGAGAGAGTATCGACACTGGTAAGATCACAATCTACTTCTTCTACGTTTCTCATAAATTCATATTTTGAATCTGTTGTGGATTTTTAATTTTGGATCCAAAAAAAAAAAAATTATTTGTTTAGTTTTCTTTTTCGCTTTTCACTGGAATCTTTTGCTTTTGTTTTATTCTTTGAAATTTTTTGTTTTTGAATTTGCCGTCAAAGAATCGTAATGATTAAAGTTAAATTCTTCTAAAAAGAAGAAAAGCTGATGCCTCTCATTTTCATGTGTCTTGAGTACAGAGCATTTGACTGCTGATGAGTTCTCCGCCGAGCTCGCCGAAGGCCTAGCTTATGTTGCCAGTCACGACGAAGAATCCAGACCGGTAATGGTAATTTTCTCTCACTTTCTCCCTACTTTCTCTGGGGAAAAGGAAAGGAAAACTTATGATTCCAGTGTTTAATTTGTATATTTTTCACAGATTTTTCGAATCAAGCAAGACTACCAGAAGTTCCATTCGCAGAAACTGTGAGTCATCTCAGAAAAATAATTATTTTTTGTAACTTCGTACGACTGTAATTCTTTATTTTGTTAACTTTGTATTTATTTATTATTAATGTTGGACTTGTATGTTTTGTATTCGAGGCCCTGTATGTTTTTGAATGTTATGTATGTTTTGTATTTTGTTGGAAGCGTCATCATGAATGCACATCGCACATATTCAAGGCCTTGTGGTACTGCAACTTCATCATCTTCATCATCAGCTTTGGAGTTGTGTCATCTTGATGTTGTTGGAGATGATGATGCGCTAGTTGAACATGATGAGGTTGAAACTTTGAAACTAATACAACTAATCCAACTCCAAGCACTACTAAAATTGAGAGGCGATTTAAAAGTCCAAGAAAATCCGAAAATATAATCCGAATAAAGAATCCAAGTTGTTTTAAAAATTAAGTATGGGCTGGGTTTGGGCTCACTAGGCAAAACTATACGTTGGCTTGGGCTGGGTTTGAGCTAAAGATTTGTATGTTGGGCTGAGTTCGAGTTAAGTGTCCAACCCGTTCAAGTTGCAGCCCTAGTATGAGCTTTTATTTTTACTAGCAAAATTCAAGTGCAAGGAAAAAGTTGAAATTGTAGGTAGAAGGAAAAAGTTAGATTTAACATGTAAAACTTTTAAAAATTGCATATATAATGAGACTCAAATGACATAATTCATATTAAAACATCATCATTCAATGTTGCCGGTCTCGTAAAATCTTTAAAATTTTACACAGTAATTCTTAGGCTCCATTTATTTTTTGGAAATTATTTTTCTCATTTTCTGGTATTTGGGAGACTCCAAAGTTAATGTAAATCATTTTACCCCCAACGACTGAAAATGTTTTACCAAAAAAAGTTTTTGCAAGTCATTTTTCACAGGTTACCGTGGGTGATTTAACCATCCATATTCTTATTGAACCTCTATGTCTCTCCAATAACTAATCTTTTTTAGTCCTCTCAATCTTAAAAATCTAATTTTCAGTCTTCTCTCTCGATATGCATACATAGAGTGAGAGGAAAGAGAAAGATGGACACAAATTTTGATTAGTTAAGGAACAAATTTGGGTCGAGAGTATGTTTTGGTATAAAAAGAGAGTGGAGAGAGAAAGTAACAAGAATGAAAGGGAGGGATGGTTTAGCGTAGAAAGAAAAAATAACAAGGAAAGAGAGAAGGAGATGGTTTAAGGGATGCTATTCCTTGTTGGTGAAGAACACCGTGGAAAGAGAGAGAGTTAATTGTAGGTATTATTTTCTGTTGGTGAGAAAATATTTTAGGGATCAAAAAAAAAAAAAGAGAATATTTTACATATTTTATAAGAAAAATATTTTACGTCCAAACAAACAGAATTTTAGTAATCTTCAACATGACAAACCAATTAACATGAAAGCAAACGTGTATTTATTGTTATCAGTGGTCTAAAACAGAATTGACCTAAGTTTACATGAATACTTGAGGCTCTGAATTAGTAGCAAAAAATTAGAGCTAGTTTTGGATCTTAAATAACAATCTTAGATGAGTTTTTAAAATTTCTTTTATACTAAAATTTGAATTCATAACAAATCAATGACAAAGATTGCAATAAGAAAATATATATATATATATATATATATATATATATTTAAAAAGGGTATAGGTTTATTTTCTTCTGAATTATATATATATATATATATATATATATATATATATATATTTAAAAAGGGTATAGGTTTATTTTCTTCTGAATTTTATTTATTTTGGACAATTATGTAACAACATTAATTAGAGAAGAGTATGTATCATATTAGAGAAGACATGAATGTCACGGTTGGTGTATCCTTTTCCCAATTCAAGTCTACTTGACTTCACCTTGCACAAACAAAATTAATTTATTAATTTGAAATTATTTAGAACCATCTTTCTACATTTCATTTCTAATTTAGATAAATCTACTAAACAAAATTCAAGTGCTGATTCTAGTATTAAATTATAATAAAAACATGCTCAATGAAGAACTATGCCGTTGATCAATTCATTTGTGACATTTTGAGTACATCCATGTAGTGTTATTTGTATAGTACTAGGACTCTAACTTAATAGTATTTTTTATATTTTAAAATAAAAGGTCGGGGAAAAGTTCCTATAGAGATCCAAGTAATAATAATAGAGTAATTTAATAATATTTCCAAAATTAATTAACAATATTTAATACTGTAAAATTCTAATAGGAAAGGGAAAGCGATAAAATAAAGATAACCTTAGTCTCAAAGGCTTTGTTTGGTTAGATCGAATTAGGACGAAAAGAAAAGAAAAGAAAAGAAATGAAAAGTAAAAAGTGAAGTGAATGAAAAGAAAATTTATTAGTGAAAATTTAATTGAATAGGATAAAAGTTATTAAAAATATTTTTACTTTACCTAAATTGACTTTATGTAATATTGTCCTTATTTTATAAAATAGTAAAATAATAAAATCAATAGTAGAGTAATAAAGAATGAATTAGTAGTAATATATATTTTAAAAAAAATGATATAATTTTCAATTAATTGACACCTTACAAATTACTATTTATAGAAGTCAAGTTAATTCAAAGTTTCAAACTCTACCACCAATAAAGTTATTTTTGGTTTGTAATTCATTATAATTTTTAATTAATTGACATCTTACAAGCTACTATTTATAGAAGTCAAGTTAATTCAAACTCTACCACCAATAAAGTTATTGTTGGTTTGTAATTCATTGAAACCTAGTAAATAAATAAATAAAATTATTATTGGTGGCTTACAATTATGATATAGTTGTTGGTATAAAATAGGAATACAAAATAGAAAGACGTTGCTTTTACGAGAAAATTTATTTTCGCGTGTTTTGGGCAAGAAATGTTTTGGGGAAAATAGTGGGTTGCGAGAATTCAAATTCATTCTATCTGAACTCTAAAAATTTATAAAATTTTCACTTTTTTTTATTTTCTAGTTGATTCTACCTAACCAAACAGAGTCAAAATGATAAGTTATTTTTATTTTATTTTTTCAAAGTCTTGATTTGTTTGGATGTAAAATATTTTTCAAAAAATATTTCTTTATATTCTGCTTGGTAAAATATTTATGAAGAAAAAAATATTAAAATCTAGCAAAAATAACTTACCAATCACTTTTCGACAAGTTGTTTGGATTTAGACCTTTGCTAAGCACTAAAAAAATAAAAATAAAAATAAATATAAATATAAATAAATTCACTAATAATACTTCTATTTCTCTCATGAATTTTGAGACTATTTCTTGTTGGACCAGCTTCCGAAATACTAACACTAAAGAAAATATATATAGCTTTAAAAAAAAAAAAAAACTTATTTCTTACTAAATTATAACAATATTCTAGATGAATAAAAAATATAACTACCAAAAAAAAAAAAACTATAAGTTGGTGCGTTTGAGAATTTAAGTATTAATTAATGCAAACCTGTCGAATTCCATTAACTAATTTGTTGAAATTGATTTTTTCAACTATCAAATTTAAATTAATAACTCTTTGTATTATCATTGATTTTTATTTCTGTAGAGAATCAACTTAAATTTTTTTATAATAGAAACAATATTACTTTCAGACTCGCGTAGATAAGTTTGTCAAAAATTTCTTTTTGCATTCAAATTGATAACTAAACTTGTAGACTTTATGAGATTGAAACCAAACTTCTCGCAAATTTGGTAGCATTTATGCATGTACTTCGAAAACTTGTCATACAAAATCTATCAGCAGCCACATCTACCACGCACAACTTTCTTTATATTTTTATTTTTGGGCTTTTATTATTAGTCTGCATCTTCTACAATATAACACAAGTTCAATTCTGTATTTAAAATTTTTTATTATTTATTTGATCACTCACACACACACGTGACGTACGTACATTACTTATGTTATACCCAACTATTTTATCATGCACTTCCATCATTCATTTAAAGCTTGAGGTCCATTCCTCTCTAATCAAACTAGGCATTGAGTCATTTTCATCTCATCACGAAAGTTACCATTGCTTATATTTATTTTGAGTATTTATTTTTCATTAATTATCTTTCTTTGTATCTTTAGAATTTTTGTGAATAGTAATAAAATAAATAATAAACTTTCTCTGTATTTATTTAACTATTCTTTTGTGAAAATATTTTTTTATTGATTTTTTTTTTCAAATCAAGAAATGTTAAATGTCAAATTTTATATTAATAGATATGGAAAGTTAAAAGCCTGAAATTTCTTTGTTGATTATACTAGTAGAAATCACCATTTTGATTTTCAAATATATTGTTTGTTGATAAATTTTCAAAAGTCACATCAATCCCAACAATTATCTCGAGCTTCACAAATGCAAAGTCTATTTTATGTGAAATTAACAATTAGGGTAAAGTACAGTCACACCCCCTAAAATTTGGTAAAGGACATTCAGAGGAAACTTACTTCTTTTTTGGACAAAGATACCCCCTGAAGGTTCAAAAATGGACAAAGACACCCCTTTACATGAAAATTTGACCAAATTACTCTTTGACCGTTTAGGAGACTTTTTTAACTTTACAATTTAATAAATTGGACCAATCTGCCCTCATGAAAGAAAAAAAAAAAAAAAAAAAGAAAAAAAGAAAAAAATGAACAATATAAAAAGAAAAAAGTGAACAATATAAAGTTTTTTTTTTTACTTTATAGATGTCCCAACTTCTTAAAAATGTAAATGTTTAAAATGATTTTTTGATTCAATACATATATTTCAAATAATTTATATTTTGTTATTTCTTCTTTTCTTTTTCTTTTTTATTTTTAAATTAAGATACTTAATTCTTTCATCTAAAAAAATTAAACCAATTTCTTTTCTTTCAAAACTAAAAATATGGTACCATTATAACTTTATGCATCTTAAATTATATATTAAATATTATGCATTTCCCAATATATAATAAAATAGGTACTAGTATAACTTTATGCATGCCTTTGTTTTTTTTTTTTCCCCCTTGGTTTTATTATTATTTTTTCCTTTGTTTTATTATTTTTTTCCCTTTATTTTATTATTATTATTTTTCCCTTTTATGTTGGGAAATGCATAATATTTGAAATATAATTTAAGATGCATAAAGTTATACTGATACTATATTTTTTATTTTTAAGGAAAAAAGATTGGTTTAATTTTTTTAGATTAAATAATTAAGCATCTTAATTTAAAAATAAAAAAGAAAAAGAAAAGAAGTAATAACAAAATATAATTTATTTGAAATATATGTATTGGATCAAAAAATCATTTTAAACGTCTACATTTTTAAGAAGTTGGGACATCTATAAAGTAAATAAATAAAAAAAGTGAATAATATAAAGTTTTTTTTTTTTTTTTTTTTGGTTACTTTTTTTCATGCATAAATTGTTCATGATGGTAGATTGGTCTAATTTATTAAATTGTAAAGTTAAAAAAGTCTCCTAAATAGTCAAAGAGGAATTTGGTCAATTTTTCATGTAAAAAGGTATCTTTGTTCATTTTTGAATCTTTAGGGGGTATCTTTGTCCAAAAAATAGGTAAATTTCATGTGAGTGTCCTTTTGCCAAATCTCATGTAGCTATATTTACCCTAACAATTAAAAAAGCTATCATAATTAATAATATATCAAATTTAAACCTTCTGACATTAAAATCATTGATCATAATTCCATATCACAATGTATACAAGTGTATTTATGTGTAATTTTTTTTATTTTTTTATTTTAAGAAATACTAAATGTACTCCACTTTTTATGATTACACTCTTTATATATATATATATATATATATATATATAGCTTTGTGGTTAAATAAATAAATGCACTCTCTTATTTTATAATTCACTTCACTTTCAAAAAAATGAAGCATAAGGAGACTTTGCATCATTTAAATATATAAATATATATATCATATATATTATATTAGCTAGTCACCATCATAGACAGTGGAGGAGACGAAACCTAGAGAAGATACTTTTGATATATTAGAAATATTCTCTGATATTACAACTAATAATATATTATATTAGTCACCACTAGACCAGACGAGAAAGACGAGACCTGTCCGGTTCTGGGACTCGACGTTCTACGACGCAACGCAGGTGGGTGTCACGTGTTCTCTCCCTCGACCATTGTTGACGAGTGTTCCATTCATTTCTTGTCACTACTTTATTCACATGCAAGGCTACTTTCGTCATTTCACACGACTCACAGTCCCGAGAGACAATTATAATATAGTGTCTGTAATACTCCTAATTTTAAAAGGATAGTCTCAGTTTTTATTTAATATTTTATTACATTTTTATATTCAATTATTTGATTATTTGGTATTTGTTTGATTATTTGGTATTGGTTTAATTATTTAATTGTTTAATGGATGATTTGTTTATATGTTTATTTTAATTAAGTGGTTAAATGTAATTTGTAAGTTTATTTGAATTTAAATATTTTAATTGAATTATGTGTTATGTTATGTGATGATGCGTAATTCAATTGGTAGAATTTAAAGATTTATTTTATTTTCAATTTTTTTAAAGATGGGCTTAGATAGTATGGAGTAATTGGATAGGAGATTAAAAGGGTACGGTTAATACCTATGGATGGTGATACACATATATATATATATATATGGGTATATATGTATATAAAGTTAATTAAATTATTAATTATTAATAATGGCTAAATTAGGATCACTTTTCAATATATAAGTATTATATATAATTCTAAGTTTTTATATATGTGTGAATCACGGGGTGTGGGATAGTCGACTTGGTTAAATATTTATTTTAATTATATTTTCTCTTCCTTCTCTGAGTATAATTGGACTTAGGTTAAATTAGTATTGCCTATAAATATGTTGTTATGTGTCTGCAAGAGTTTTAGAACCCTATTCACATACACATAGAGGCGAAGCAGTATACAGAAAGGTTTGAGGGAAAACATAGGGAATTAATTAGGGTTTCAGCCATAATTAAAAGTTGGATCAAGGAGGAAGGAAAGGATTGCTTGTGGTTGAACCAGAGCAATAGGAGGTTTGACGGTAGTCGGCAGTCGTCGGAAAACTTAGAGACGATGGCGCAAGGTTTCAAACTGAAACCTAAAGGCAAGTTTTATATCTAACTCTCTCCCTTTGACTCGTGTTCTTTACATGCCTATTCAATTCCAGGAGTAAATAAACTTTAAATTTAATCTGTTGTACATATTGAATTAAATTAAAGCAGTAGGAATATTAACGAACTTTTAATTGTGTGATTTTAAGCTTTCTTGCGTGAATTCTTGCTTTGATTGGTTTAAACAAATGCATAATTTCTGGAATACTCTGGGACCTAGTTCAGACACATAGGAACCTTAATAATAGAGGACAGAGGAACTAGAAGTCGCCGGAGAATATAAAGTGGATGAAAATAGGGGGAGAGCCGGCTCCTTTTTGAAGGGAGGCGGCTCCCCTCTCAAAGAGACAGCTCCCCACAAGGGGAAGCCAATCTACCATGCAAGGAGTCGGCTCCCCTAAGGGGGGAGCCGGCTCCATTCAAGGGGGAGGTGGCTGCCCTAGTGGGGAAGGCGGCTCTTCCCCCTTTTGTTGTATTTTTGGCGAAATTTTGATTATGGGTTTGGTTTTTGACATTCCAGCTGTAATTAGGAGCTGTAAATGGGAAGTTAAATGATGTCTAAGGTCATACTAAAGCTCCAGATGGCATGCTAATGCATGATAAGCCACCTAGTGCTTATAGCTTGAACAATATATAATTCTTAATTCAATTGGCATACTGTTATTGGATATGGATGACTTAAGTTGCTTATCTTTATTTTAGCAATTTTCTGTGGATGGTTGTACAATTTTAATCATGTATCAGTGTTATCAAATAAGCATGCTAATTTACATATTTTTATGATGCTTATTGTGGATTAATTGACATTTACATTTGTTACCTGTATTGTCAATTGTTTGGACTTAATTGATGTTAGATTAATTATTTATTTCATCAATTAGTGGATTTATGGATTATACGCATCAGAATGAGACGGTGGCATAGTAGGGATGGATTAGCTCAAAATGCTAAGTTCTACCTACTCTGGAATAAGGGAACGGATAAACAATAAAAGTTAGTCATACTTATATTTATGTCGGGTCAACAAATAGTTGGATAACATCCCTTTGGTTTGGATGGATTTTAAATATATAATTATGGTACCTCGATATGAGCTTGAGTTTCAGGGTTGACTGTTAGGGAGCGTATATGCATTGGGATGCATAGCTGGCTATGATGGTTGGAGGTGTACCCTGTTAGGTCTAGGTACTCATGCCCACTTTAGGTGCGTTTTGCATGTTGCCTACTAGTCAGGTTGATACCGACCTGTAATCCAGTGAGAGTCCTTTAGTGTGGATATATATATATATATATATATATATCGATTATATGGTTATTGTTGAGTTGTTTAGGATGTACATGCATATCAGGTCTCTGTTTGGTTTGTAGTAGTATAGAATTTGTTCGTGAGCTTAACCCACTATCATTTTTCAAGTATTCAACAGTTCCAGGCTTAGAGTTTGATCGTGCTGAGCAGAGACAGTCATTCACTCCTCTGACTACGTAGAACTACTACATATGTTTTAGTTTTGACTTGCCTTTTGTTCAGTTATTTATTTTTCAGCTGAAATATTATTAGGGGTCCACTAGATAGATTCTCGAGTTGTAATAATATTGAAGGTTTTGGCAGTAGTGAATTATACAACTTTTAAGGATTTTTATTTAGAATTATTTCAGCTTGTTTAATTATTCCTTATTATTATTTTGTATTATGTGTTCATTTATATATTTAATTGTTTGGTATCCCTCGGATCTGTACTCGGACTGATCAGCCGTGGCTCTAGAATTGAGAAATATCACAATGTTCGGAGTATTGGTCGGGCCATTCAGCGTTGCACACTAAAACAACTTTATCATAAATTTAGTAAATAAAAATTCAAATTTTTTATTTATGTGTTCAATAATGATTGGCTAGAAGTCAGAAAGATCATTTAAAATTTTTTCGTATCAAAAGCAGGTGGATTACATATGCATAATCAAATGTGTCGATTTTAATCAACTTTTTTACTTGCAAATCAAGTTATGATTGAACTCGATTATGCAACAAATTCTCTCTCTTCCCACCTCATTTGGAACATTGGTTAGGGTTTGTTTGGTTGAATTTTTTTAAAAATACTTTTAGAAAATTATAAAGTAATTCGATAAAAATAAACTTCTTTCTAATTGAATTATTTAGAAAATAGTTTTCAAAGAGTATTAAATAAAATAAAGTTTTATATAATTTTTTGTTTTTTAATTATTAAAAATTAAAAATATTTTTTTGTCAAAAAACTGAACCAAACAAACCTTTTTATGTTGTAAAAACGAATCTGTATCTTTCAATACGTTTAATACTGAATTTTTTTAAATTAATTAAATTTATTTTTAACACATTAAATTAATTTATTTTAACCAAATTCAATGTGTTGGGCAAATTACCGATACATGAAAAGGAGATCAGGACCGTTCGTCAAAATCAAGGAACGCCGGATCGATGGAAAATCAGTTGACTTGACCTATCAGATGAGCCAATTAGAAGTCGCCGTGTGTGCAGGCAGAGGTTGCTACGTTTAAGCGTGCATGTTAGTTTAGGGGACCCACTTATGTGGCGCTATTAGAGGTTAAATAGAGGACCTGTGAACCAGAAAGTTCAGAAATACGAACAGCTTGCGATAGTTAGAGAGGAGAGAGAAAGAGAGAGAGGGAGCAGCGCTCTTCTCTGGAGCGCTTTCAGGAGAGGTAGAGGGACTCAACTTGTTCCTGAGGTATTCTGCTTCTCTCTCTATATTTGTCAAATCTTCATATAATTATCAGCATTTCATATATATATATATATATAGAGGGTAAGATTTATTCGATTTATGTGTTCCTTTTTGTTATTGGTCGATTTTAACCAACATTACGATTATTTGAATAGATCTGTGAATTGGTGTAGTGTTTTTATTGTAAATTTCTATGATTTCTTCAATCTGTCATAACAATGCCATCCATCTCATAAATGCCTTCCTTTTCTGTTTCTTTCTTAAAATGAAATTTGTATCAAGGACAATAGCGTCATTTCACATATATGTATCTATAATTTCTGCATGTGTATAACCAAGAAGAAAATCGTTTTTTTTTTTTTTTTTGTTTTTTGCAAACTATGAAATGCTTGTTGATTGTTTGTCTTTTTAATTGTCTTACCAACGAATGCTTGTGCTTGTTTGATTTGTTCACTTTCTAAGGATTGCTTGAAAGTCCTTTATATATATATATATACAGCACGGACCTCTGTATTAGTCAGTGGGGGCAGGGAAGTCCTTCAAATGTATATACAGGCACGGACCTGTGTATTAGTAATTGGGGCAATCCTGAATTTTTTTGTTTTGTATTATAGTCCTTTTGATTCTTTGTTTTTGAATTATATACCTATAAAATTTCACTTTTGTCCCGAAATTACTAAAAATATTTAATATTGCCCCTCATATGATTCTTTGGGTCTAGGTGAACATACCCTCTCTTTATAGACATGGACCCGAATCCTCTCTTGTAACGATTCGTTAGTGAATTTCACCAATTTCAAAGATTCACTGCATAAAATTTCACGGTGGTTAACGAATTTCAAAGTTTCACTACATAAAATTTCATGGTGAATTGTCTTGTAACGATTCAATGTTCTACGCTGTGGAGTTCATTTATATTAATTTTCTAGGGGAACAACCTATTTTTTACTTAATATTTTTTGGTTTTCATTTTTTTTTTAATTAATTTTTTAGTTTTGATTTTCTTAGGGGAATTACTCGTACCACCACAATATTTGCTTTATGTTAGAAGTATAGAATCTAGATCATGTGGGTGGAAGCAAAGCATTACTGGATGCAAAGTCAAGATGTTGGTCCAGTGTTGCCCTCATCATAGTTAACATCAAAAACATTATAGAGATGTTAACAAAGAATTAAAATGACGAAGTTGCCCTTGAGTATTAAAAGAGAGAGTTTTAAGATTTTAGTGAATTTATATATTATTTCATCTTGTACTTGTACGGAATTTAATCTTTTAGAACATGTCATTCAACTGCTAGGGCCTTTAGCTCATGTCATGATCTCTCCTCCCAAAGGGGAGGTTGAGAGTTCACTTGGGGTTTTAAATTTCTAGACTCAGTAGTTTTGACCCTCAAAATATATATATAAAATTTTTTTTGGGGGGGGGGTGTTGAGGTTAACTCTTTTTTCTTTTTTTTTCTTTTTTTTTTTTCATTATTATTAGTATTATTATTATTATTATTTATCTTGTCAAATGACACACATTTTTGAGGTTAACTCTTTTTTTTTTTCATTATTATTATTATTATTTATCTTTTCAAATAACACACATGCACCCACAAGCTGTAAATTGTTGTTGTAATAGTATCTTCTCTGATTTTCATTTATATTGTGACATCTATAAGATTTAATGTCATGAAAAGAAGTTTTGCAACTTTTCTTCTGCTTATCAAAATGAGGCCACAGATTTTCCTCTCTCGTGTTCGGATTGAAGTACATTCTTCACTATATCAAGTGGAAAGTTCACAATAAACTGACACAAACCTTAATTCTCTCCAGGTTTAGGCATCAACAATGGGAGCCGGAGGCCGAATGTCTGTCACCACAACCAAATACGAAGACCACAAGAAACCCATCCAGAGAGTCCCTCACTCCAAACCTCCTTTCACTCTCGGCGAAATCAAGAAAGCCATCCCACCCCACTGCTTCAAGCGATCCCTCCTTCGCTCCTTCTCCTTCGTTGTTTACGACCTCATTTTAGTCTCTCTCCTCTACTACATTGCCACCACATACTTCCACTCCCTCCCTCCACCCCTCCGCTACCTAGCATGGCCCGTCTACTGGACTCTTCAAGGCTGCATTCTCACAGGCGTTTGGGTCATTGCTCACGAGTGCGGTCACCACGCATTCAGTGACTACCAATGGGTGGACGACACAGTTGGCCTTGTCCTCCACTCGTCCCTCCTAGTCCCGTACTTCTCGTGGAAGTACAGTCACCGCCGCCACCACTCCAACACCGGATCCATTGAACACGACGAGGTCTTTGTCCCGAAGGTGAAATCCAAGATGGGATGGTACTCTGAATACTTGAACAACCCCATAGGCCGCATTCTCACCCTTGTGATCACTCTCACTCTTGGCTGGCCCCTGTACTTGGCCTTCAATGTATCCGGCCGACCCTATGACCGTTTCGCGTGTCACTTCGATCCCAAATCCCCCATCTACAACGACCGGGAAAGGCTGCAGATTTACATTTCTGATGCAGGTGTTGTAGCTGCAACTTATCTCCTCTATCGGGCTGTTCTGGCAAAAGGGTTGGCATGGGTTGTATGCGTTTACGGAGTCCCATTGCTGATTGTGAATGGCTTCCTTGTGCTGATCACATACTTGCAGCACACCCACCCTTCCCTGCCTCACTATGATTCATCAGAATGGGACTGGCTGAGGGGAGCGTTGGCGACGGTGGACAGGGATTATGGGGTGCTGAACAAGGTCTTCCACCACATCACTGACACGCACGTAGCTCACCATCTCTTCTCCACAATGCCACACTACAACGCGTCGGAGGCCACCAAGGCGATCAAGCCGATCCTCGGGGAGTATTATCAGTTCGATGGCACTCCGTTTTACAAGGCAATGTGGAGGGAGGCAAGGGAGTGTCTGTATGTGGAGCCAGATGAGGGTACACCTAGTGATGGTGTACTGTGGTACAAGAACAAGTTTTGAACGCTCACACGGTTGCGAAGAATGATGGTGTGTGTAAGTAGGTGTTGTGTATGTGTTTTTAAGTATGGTAGTAAATGTGTGACTTCAGTGTGTTTTGTGTGTGGGAGATAGAAGCAAGGTGTTGTCTTCTTCCCCGGATCAACTGTTTTCTGGAGTTGTAATATGAACCTTTTAGTCTTAATTATGTGTGTTTTCGGATGAAGTACTCTTGAAGTTTGCCAACTCTCTCAGTTTCAATCTACCTCAAATGATCACACAATATGTTACTATTATGAAACATTTTGATATAAAAACTATATTATAATATAGAAATTATAAGAAATTCCATTGTCTAGGTTTTTTGCTGATGAAAAAGACACAGAACATTTTGTGCACTGAATTGGAGGCCAAATTTGTTCAAAGAATCAAAAGATGAGTACTGAAAGGTTTTATGAACACTAATGACAAAAAAAAAAAAAAGGGTTGTTTGGTAACAAAAACTGAAGTGTAACCGTTTCTTTTCTCTTTGATTGCAACGATTTGGATTATTCCATCTGCCCAAGAGTGGTCAATGTGTCCTGGGCTTCAAGGCATTCAAAACTCAAAATTTTATATTAGGTCAGGTCAAAATTAATTTAGTTTACAAGTCTCGATAGTCCAATGAATTTTAGAGTGTCAGATTTTCACTCTCTGCATTTACTAATATAATTTCTAATACTCCTTACTTTGAAAAAAAAAAAAAAAATAATGGCAATTTAGTTTGATAATAAATAATAGGGTTAAATGCAAAAAAACCCCCTGAACTATAAGGGTTTTGCAACTAACCCCACCGAACTACAAGAAACCCCCCTAAATTATAAATTTATAGCAATTTACCCACTCAGGCCACCGGAAAATTAGAGGACGAAACTGCCCTTCCAATAAAACGATGCAGTTTGTTAAAATTAACCTTCATCCATCGACCCGAGCCCAAAGAAGGCGGCCCACGGCTGCGGAGCGACGGGAATAGGTTTGTTGTGTGTATATAGATATAGATATATAGATGTGTATATATGTACCGCCGTGAAGAACGCGATAGACATCACCTTTGTCGACCATGATGGCAGCCAAGTAACCGTCTTAGAAGGTCTCGACGTCCATGTTGACCTTGTCAAACTCGATGACGACTACACTCTCGCCCTTGGAGAGCTTGACACCCTCTCATTTGACCCACGACACAATCTTGCACTCGATCATGGTGGAGCTCAGCGCTGGCATGAAAATCTCTCTGATCCGAATTGGTGATTGGGTGGTTGAATTAGTTGGGTTGAGTGTGGGGGTTGTGATTAAGTGATTGATTTTGGGTTTGTAGTCGCCGGCAGAGATGGATTTGCAACGGCAGTTGTGTCGAACCTCATCGGAGAAAGACGCCAACTGACCGTCGAGATAAATTGAACCACCAAACCTTCAAATCTGACCTTTCATCACCCACCTTCACGCCGCTTGGGTTTGAATCAACACTTGGTATGGGTGGTGCCAAAGATTGCAACATCACTACAACCACCGATCTTGATTTGTAGGTGGCGGCCATGGGTTTACCAAATCGTCATCAATAAATAGATCTGCAGCAGTGGCGGTGACGACATAATTTCATGCATTCAACACGCGCCGGTAACTGCAAATCGTGTGCTCTGCACGCCCCATGCCGCGGCAGTCGTCTTCTTCCTCATATAACCAATTTTTTCCTCCACATTTCTCCATCAAAACCCACCGAGTCTCCCTCTTGCTTGCCGACCGTTGTGCAATCTAGCCGAAGCTGTATGAGTTGGCGTGATAAGTGATTGCGGACCGGCGGCGACAAGGTTCGGATTGATGAAACTTCGGTGAACAAGGTACTGTAATAATTCGTCGAAAATTATAGATTGTTTCGGCGAGGATGAACTGCACAGCGGTGAAGATGGACCGTCGAGCTCGGCCGATGGAGCTCTCGGCTGTGATGAAGAATTGTGGCGGTGACGAGCTCGGAGGACTGACGGTTGCTTTACTAATTTTTCTAAATTCTGTGGGAAAAAACCCAGTGTTATTCCATATTGTTTTGTTTATTGTCTCTGTTTAGCCATTTTGATTACAATTTGTTAGTTTTCTGTTCTTTTTTGAAATCGGAGGGTGAAATCATTGATGAACAATCTGAAGAGGATTGGTCTGCAGGGAGAGGAGAGAGAAGGTGCTGATGCATGCGTTTGGATTGCTAGGGACCATAGATGAGGTGGTCATTATGCTTGATGGTGGTGGCAGTGGATTGTTTCGGCGATGATGGTGGTGGCGATGGATTGTTTTGGCGATGATGGTGATGGTCACAAGAAGGGCAATGGAGTCTTTTCATGCTTATAAAGGACAATATGGTCATAAAGTTAGATATTTTGTATCACGTGATGGCACGTGATCATTTTGCCGGTGAGATTCAACCGGAGAGTCGCCGGATGGAGTTATCTGCAACAAAAATGTATAGTTTAGGGGGTTTCTTGCAATTTTTGTAGTTCAGGGGGGTTTTTTGTATTTAACCCTAAATAATAAGAAAATAAAATGAAATGAAAGACTATTGCAATCCCATATTCACTTAAAACAGTGAATAAGAATGATTCTTGATCATTTTAGTGATTCGTGGAGGGAGGAGAGAGAGAGATGGAGAGCTTAGATAGACTCTGCTATAGTCTATGGAGTTCACTCATTCTCTTAATGAGAATACTTTCATTTTTTTTTATTCCAGGCGTGTCGAGGGCTCGTTCTTCCCCCTTCTTCAAACTCCTATTCGTCTTTTTCATAAAAAATCTTTGATTATAGAACATGTTAGAAATTTATTTAAAATTCATTTATGACATGGCAAAAATCTTTTGGCTAAAGAAGTGTGATGGTGAAGCTTCCAAATTAGCTTCAGTAGGAAGCTTTGTAATATACTTGGACACCAAGTATATTTTTGGCTATAAATAGCCTTGCACTCATTCAATAAAAAGCATCCGAGAGGCATCCAAGAGTAAGACAATATTCAGATCTAGAGAGTATATTGGTTTTGTGTGTGTGAAAAAATCTTTTTGTGTGTACAATCTTCGAGGGAGAGTTGAAGTTTGTATTTAGGTGGTTTTTTCTCTTTGTGTAAACCATATACTATTTGGGGTATTTCTTGAGTGTTGAGTGAGTCTTCTTTGTTAGTGAGTGAGTGGTGTGAGAAGAGGGATTATTGTGAGGAAGAACCAAAACATTCTCTAGTTTGTAATCTTTTTCTTTATAGTGATACGAATCATCATCGCCCGTGGACGTAACCCTATTTGTGAGGGTGAACCACGTACAAATCCTTGTTTCGTTTGTGTGTGCCTATTTATTTTCTTGTCATTATTTTTCTCTTGTCCTCGTAAATTCTTATTCGATCTTTTTTATAATAGAACAAGATTCATTTTTCATCATATTTAAGGAATTCCTTAATTCGGAATATTTTTTTTTTTTTTCATCAAACGACTATTAGATCCAAATTAAATTTAAAATGCAAAAAGAAGCGTGTGAACGAGAAAGGATCCAAATTTGGAAGGTGGAGAGAAGCCACCAACGTGAGAGAAAAGTAACTGCAAAATAAACAGAAGTTACAATGCTAGTCTTGTTTGGAAGATTCTAATGGTTAAAGGAGGGGAAATAGTCTTTTAGGGAGACAAGTTGCAAATTTTTCTTTTTTTGCAATTACCCTTTTTATTTTATTTTATTTTATATTTTTTTTGGCTTCCTAAAGTACCTTTTTATGCTTAGCTTTGCAAAGTGTCAGTATCCTAATTAAAAACTAACGGTGTAGTTTTGTTACGTAGAAATTGAACGGAGATTCTATTTCAAACATTTGCTTAATTATATGACATTTAACAATCATTTCCTTAATTGATATGACATTTAACATAGGAATGAAAAATTCATTCCACATCAAACCAGTAGGAATGAAATTCTTAACTACCATCACTGCTACTGGCCCACCGCCTTTTATCACCTTTCACCACCGCCTTTTACCACTACCATCGTCGCCACCGCCCACCACTTCCACTGCTATTGCCACCACCTCCACCATTTAAGCTAAAGAAATATTTTGGGTGGCACTCAAGAAATATTTTTTTATACTAATATACCATGTTTTTTTCTTTTTTCAATCCATCCCCATAAAATATTACTAATGCCTTCATGAAATTATTACAAAATCTCAATCTTGTCATCCTTTACCTAAAGTTCTGAACCCGCTTTTGACCACAACCACCACCGTCGTCTCCACTGCCGTTGTTGCGGCCACCGCCGCCACCACTTCCACCGCCTTTTGCCACCGCTTTCCACCACCTTCCCCCATTACCGTTTTCCACCACTTTCACAGCCGTCGCCTTCCATCGTACCACAAACCTTATCCAAGGATATAAAGTAACACCCAAATTGAAATCAATTTTACATAAATAAAAATATATATAAAAATAATAAAAATAAAAATTTACAAACATCTATTAAGGCTTGCTATGAGTAACAACCTATCAAAACTCCAAACCAGACGAAACTAATAGAGACCTAACTATTGCAGTTACTGTGTAGACATTCCAAGTAATAAGACAAGGGGATCCCTTAATTTCCAACAATATTGCTGATCCTGCATCTCCCTCTCCAAAATTGTGGAAGAAGACGGTCCGCTTGATGAAAGAAGACAGTTCTAAAACAATCTTCTTCTTCTTTTTTTTCCCTAACAAATTAGGGAGAGGGGGAAATCGAACACGAGCACACCCGCTCGGGGAGTTGAACACTCTACCAATTAGGTTACTGGGTATTAACCGGTTCTAAAACAATCAACTTAATGGGGATCAGAGATATTGTTGAAAAGGGGAGGGTCCACGTATCTTACAATTTGTAGAGTTTTGATATTTACCAAAATGTTAATGTCTACAAAATTTCACTACTGTGTCCCTCTCTCTCTTTTTTTTTTTTATCATCGGATTACAGATCTTCCCCTGAAATGATGCCATAGAGTTGTTTTGCTGTCCAGGTTACTTCGTAGAGGCTTCGTAGAGGAAACCTGATATCCTCTGCAATTGTCATCAGCAGGACCCTGCATTCTATTTAAAAAAAAAAGAAAAGACAATGATGGTTTTAGCAATCGAACTCAAAATTTTATGCATGAATATATTTTCATATTGTTTTCTCATGCAAGTTTTTTAAAATGCTAAAAACTGTACAGGTATTATATTATTTTTGCAACAAGATTCTCAAGCCAGAATAGTATTAGGTCCCATTTAGAAGATTTTAATAGTTAAAATTATGATTATCATATAATTTTTTGACCAGTTGAATAAGAATTTCCTGGAAATTAATGTTTCATCCTTTCAGGTTGGCCCCATTTAAATTATAGGGAATACCATGTGAATACTCAAAAAAAAAAAAAAAAAAAAAAAAATTAGAATCCATGGAGGAAGATCCTGAAAATCAATCCCATCGAACCCAAAAACACCAATTAGAAAATTTTACACTCACAGAAATATAAAATATTTTTTTCTATTTTTTAATTTGATTAAGAAAATGCTTATGATAAAAGTTGCTAACCTGGGATCTTGCTGAAATTAAGCAGACACATTGAAGCAAGAACCTTGTGCTCAAGCAGCTCACCATTTTCCAAGCTTTCTTTAAGCCGAGAGATGAGAGCTGAGAAGGCAGAAAGCTGGAACTCCACATCAGGTAATGAAGCAAGTGCATGGCTCAACCATGACACTGTGAACAGGCACACCCTCACCAAATCCAAGTTGCCGGAACTTAAACACTTGCAGATAGTCTGTAGAAAAGAATTCTTCCCACCTCCAAGAAGCGATGGTAGCAAGTTACCGAGCCACTGTTCCCTGCCCTCTTCTTCATCATCCTATATTTGGTCAACTAAACTTCAGACAACTACTTTATGTTGCTTCAACATATAATAACAAGATGCAGACATGCAAAATATCCATGTATAAATATTTCACTCCAATGTCTAACCAATTAGGGTTTCATAATTATATATTCTTATCATTACTCATTTTAGGGCACAATATTTTGATTCATGAAAAAGATGTTTTGAATGCATGAAATTGTAATTTTTAACAAAAACTGTAAGCAGAGATTGGTATTAGATCGAAAAATTTCCCAAAAAAATATAATATTGAAGTTCAGAAACCTAGAAGGTTTAGGTTTTCTATTATGACTATAACTAAGAAATCCTAACTCCTTTGCACTCAAAACACCATATTAAAACATCTAGGCTCTGATGACATAAATGTATACAAAGAGATGTCTACTCAAATTATTAAGGCGTATACTTTTAGAGGACGTATTTTTGTTTTTAACATCTAGCATTTTGCATTAGATGGTGAGTTATCATTTAGAATGTTGATCACCATCTTGTGAAGTTTACATCATCATTAATCAACATCATCGAAGTGTGTCTAAACAACAAACAAACAACCTGGACGACTAGAGGCTTGAGACCGAAATCACTGGAGAAGCAAATTCATGAGGAGAGAATGATGTTAACGAGTAAATGGACGGCCTGGAACTTTGGGGGAAGGTTTACCATTCATATGTGTCAGAAAGTAACTAGGGGAATCTTAGGGTAGAATTTGTTAACCTAGGATGAACTCTCTTTCTCTCACGTAGTGAATTATGGTTTGCCTGAACTAGGATCCATGCTTTTTTTAAATTGGGGTTGTTACGTAAAAATCATGTGTTTTTGTGTGGTTGTATGATTTTTTTATTTTTTATCTTTTTTATTATTTTTTCTCTCTATATTTGACTGATTCATATTACTTTATTCAAAATACAATTGGATCTTTTAAAAATCAATTATTTTAAATCTATTTACCAGTACTTTGTGCCTAACACTTCCAATTATATAAATTACACAAATTGTGATTTATTTGGCATTCCTTTCAGACAAACGGATACCAAAAAAATTAAAAGGAAAATGTTATTTCGTGGAGCGGAAATGAGGACGCTGCGTTTGATGATAGTAACCACTAGAAGAGATACGATAAATAATGACCGTGTGAGGGGAACATTAGGTATGGTGCCTATAAATGATAAATTAAGGAAAGTAAACTTAGGTGGTGTGGTCATATTCAATGTAGACCCGATGATGATGCACCTATTAAAAGAGGAAGAGTAGTTTGGTTAGAAGATAAACGACAAAGAGGCCGACCAAAGCTTCCGTGGGATGAAGTAATTAAAAACAATTAAAAAAACTTAAATTTAAGAGAAGACATGGTGCATAATAGGAAAGATGAAAATAGAGAATTCATGTGGCCGACCCCATCCGCAGGGATAAAGGCAGGGATGATGATAATAGATAGTGTGATTTTAAATCTAAGAAAGTACTTAAAATCATTATACTGATATATCTGGACTACTATCAGTAGCAACTAGAAGCTTACGTATGTGTTTTCATGTGCAGTTTTGACATGGGGTGGGGAAGAGAGGGAGGAAATAAGGTGTTTTAAAGAGAGCAAAACGTACTGATGGAATAGTTTCATCAACTGGTTCATCATCTGCTTCATTGACATGAGAATCTGATTCAGGACCATCAAGAAATCCCCCTAAATTTAGAACACAATCCTCTGTCATTATATTCCGAAAGAAGGAGAAATGGGCTCCCAACGTAAGAAGCGCTTTGCAACAATTTGCTTGGACCTTCTCATCAGCTATGCTAACATCTAGAGCCACTGTAATGGCATGAACAGCCTCATCTCTGTATATACTGTATTTCCGAGGTTCTACCTGCAACATGTGTTTGTCTTAGCAAACTTATCTGTAATCATGCGACTTTTACGTGTCTTTCTATAAAAGCTATAATTTTCCAGGAACATAAATTCGACATTTTGATATATTAAGCTTTTAATTGATTGGATCTCTTACATATTTGCAGCATTACACTGATTACAAGCACATAAATAGCCAAGTCATGCTAGTTCCTTCGCTTCCAAAGAAAAATAAATAACTAGTTTCACTAAAAATATGAAGAAAGACACTCAATGACCTTTTCACAGTTCAAGTATATGTACATAATAATATTTACAAGAAGGGACTCTAATAATGCATCAACAATTTCATAAATATATTTTTAAGCATGTGACAGTATTTGCCAAAGGCTAGGTTTGTATTCAGTCTGCACCTCACAGCACCTTTGATGAACAATCACACTGGGTAATGACCATTTTGTTTTAAGCATATGAGAAAGTCACCTCGAACCTTCTATGTATTTTAATTTATGGAAGTAATTTTATAACAATAACAAAAATAAAAAACAACGTTTTTAGAAAAATATCTTTTCAAGTCTCCAATGATTACTTTAGTTGTATTAGACTACATCGTGTCTTAATAAAATTGCATTTATTTACCATTAGAAGAGAAGATAAATGAAAATATTGTTGTGATAATAATTGAAACATGTGCTGATAATTGAAGAGAGTAGATTATTCAGAGTACAATATCAACCTTTTAAGTGTATCAAACTAAGTTTCTTTCCCAGTAAGGGTTAGGCAATTTTAAATCACAAATAACATTAGCAACATTAATTTATCGGAAATATTGATTACACACACCATGATATTTCTTTGATTTAATGCCAAAAAGAAGCCATTTTTCACCAACACAAAAAGTAGCCAGCCATTTCCTGAATTTTTCTGGAGGTCTTCAATGATCACACTGACCTGTCCCAAACTGTTGTGAGGAGTAATTAATTCTTTTATTTGTTTTTATTTTTATTTTATTTTTTGTGCTCTAAATCCAGTGGACCACTGTACTTGAAGTAAGAAAATTATTATTTTTTTATTTTCTTTAGTTCGTCGTATATTACTCATAATACACGGAGTACTACATAAACAATTCCTTTCAGACCAGTTTAGTTGAATGCATTAAATTCACGTCGATCAGTCTCCTTGACACGTGTAGAACATGTTCGACTTTAAGTAGTGATTTATTGACCCACTGGACCAAAATTGCAAATTTATATGATTAAACTGTAAAGTGTATTACATACTAAATCAAACCTAATATTTATCCTTTAATGGTTATCAAAAGATATCATTTAAGTCCATACACACTAATTTAAACATAAAATCATAATTGTTATATGAATATACTCTAATTGGTAATTGAACATATGACAGTTTTTCATTGCTATCTAATGGCAATTGATTTAACGAGTTCTTTTCATCTTTTCTATACTATTAAGCCAATATTCTACATTTCCACTTTGTCTCACAAGATTGTATAAAGTAACTGCAAAGAAGAAAAGATACAATGTAAATAGTAAGGAACACGCACGAAATGAACAGAATAGTAGGCCATATATGTTGTACTGGCTATAATTAGACTTTCTGTACGATTTCTCTCTCTCTCTCTCTGGCCTTGCAAATAACACAAACCCACTTTTCTCCAATGGGAACTTGAATCCTCAATCTTCCACTTTGGTAGGTAGAGAAAATACCACTAATCTAGAACCCTTGGTGGTCAGGGGCAGAAGCAGGAATTTCAACTTGGGGGGCCGAACTAGTACTATGATATAGTTTTTTGAAAAAAAATATTGAAATTTGTCATGCATTCCTCATTCAATAGTCTTATATATATATATATATATATATATATATATATATAATATAATATAAAAATGACTTAAAATGTTTATAAACCAAAAGTATTTCACAATCCATTACGTTCATAATAGATTACATTCTATGTATCAACAAAAATAGACAAAAGAATTTAACTTTGCTATAAATCTAGTGAGTTGTGACATGGGATTGAACAAAATGAAACAAACATGATGATAAAAAAAGTGATACTATTAAATTCAAAGCTCAACGAGTCAATGTTGTAAATACATATAAATTTGTTAATCTTCAAAAAGATTAAATTGAAGAATCATTAGAAGACACTTGATGATCAGTCCTAGTTCCTACATGACAAAGAAAATAGGAATGAAAGACCAATGAAGAAGAGGGGGCAAAAGAGAAGAAGAAAAATAAAAAAGGAAAAAGAAAAGAGGAGGAAAAGAAGTGTGTGAGGGAGGGGGAAATTGAATCAATTAGAGGGAGACCGTAATTTTTGGAAAGAATAAGACGAATAAAAAAATAGAATAATTAGAAAAGGAGATAGGGAAAGAAAGATAAACTAGCAACTAGAGTTTTGAGGACCACAGTAGAAGAAAAAAATGAGAGATCAGTATAGTAAAGAACTAACTTGATTTTTATTTTTAGTGTTGTCGATTGAAAAAAGAAAAAAGAAAAAAGAAAAGAGACGGCAAATATGAATTGAACAAATGTGCTGATTGATGAACAGAGAGACAAGTAATCAGAAATTATTATTAATATTTGTAATTTTTATTTCAAAAGTTGTGCTATTTGATGGGTAAAAGTCAAATTCTTTATATTGGGGGGCCAATAATTAATTCTTAAGAACTTAGTACTAATTAGCAGTTTAGCACACCAGGTATATATACCAGTTTTGGAAATTTTTGAGTGGGGCCATGGCCCCCCTTGGTCCCTTAAACAGGCCGCCCCTGTTGGTGGTTTGTATGACTCATCTCAGATTAGCAGGAGGACGCATAAGCTGCTGCCACATTACCATATATTAACAAAATTTAGGAAAATCAACGACTACTTCTTTAATCTATTGGCAGCAGGAGGATAAGAGAATTGATGAACTAAGGCTAAGTACAAAATTGCATGAAAATACAACCGAGCCAATGGCCAAACCAGATTACTGGTTTTATATCACAAAATCCATTAACCAGTAACCACTAATGGTGACTGGTGAGGTTTAAGGAAGCATATTAGGAGGTTCATAAGAAGTGGACACATAAATAAGTTGACTTGTAAAGTTACAAGTCTACATTTTCAAGAATTAAAATTTAAATTCAGATTGACGATACAAATATCAACTTGTATCTCTCCTAAGTGCCTTTCATATTCACTGATTCACATATTTAAAATAGAAAAAATTTCAATAATAGGTCCAAGAAAATGAAGTAGAGGTAAGCAGGAATGGAGAAAACCAGAATTATAGTTTATTTCACGCTTCCGCGGCAAGCAAAATAGTAATTAGAGGAACATACCAAAAGTTCGAAGTGTAACAGGAGGACAGCAACGAGGGGTCTTTGCTCAGGTGGGCTACTCTGGAGATAGACAAGCAAAATATGCATCGTGTTCACCATCTCTTCATTTTGTAAGCCACTCAAGAAAAGATTGACATCTTTCCTCCTGAAACGGCAAAGACAATAGTATAGGATTAATGGGCAGAAAATTTACTTAATACTAATAATACAATAAACCCTTAGACACCATGCATGATATTACATAACTAAAAACTCACCATGCATGATATTACATAATTAAAAACTCACCATCTAATACAAGGTAGATGATGAAAAGAAAAATATATATGCTCCCTCAATAATGTGTAAAGAGATCTGTGTATCTATATGTGTGCGTTTCCAAATGAATTAGGGTTTCTCAATTGTAATCAGAAAAAAAGAAACCTAAATCTTTTAGAATTTGATTTAAGAGAGTTTCCAAAACTATTCACGTACAGGTTGATCGAGCTATCGATGAAACCTCACTGTCACTACTTTGATTGATCAAACCTTCAATCGAAGCATTCTGGACTTCGATAAACATATTCTGGAAATCTTCAATTGATCGACACATCAATAGAGGCTTGCTGTACTTCTAAAAATTGCATGTTTAAATATATTTATTCCAAAAACAACTTCATGCATTCAAAACATTTTTTTCATGAATCAAAATGTATATGCATTATGCCCTAAAATGAGTCATAAAAAGAATGCATGATCTTGAACTCTAATTGGTGAGTTAGTTATTCAAGAGGTGACTTTACCTTTTTTTATCCTCTGAATGTATCTTCAAATTCTGATTCTCCCCTTGGACAGTAACCAACTTTTTAAAATAAAACGAAAAACATAGACTTTGGCTTCTGGTACAAAATTTGCCAACACTAAGTTCTAATCCTAACATTAGCCACCCAATTATTTCTGCATATGTATTTCAAGTACCCCTCATGTTCCTGATGTACAACAAAACATCTCATAGTTTGACTTGCTTAGTACTTAAAACACCCTCTCCCTTGTGACACTTACGTACATTTGTAAGTAACTCCGCCACATTTTTCAAATAGAATGTTCAGTATAGCTTACTTAAATCTAGAACAATAAGGCCATCCATACATACAGAAAAAGGAAAAAGAACAAGCATCACATACCTATTCAGGCAAATCAGTTCAGTAAGCAGCAACACCGCACTTGCTCTTGACTTTACCTGCTTGCTGTGGAGTAGTTCAAGAAGACATGGTTTTCTAATGTTTTTTGCTATCTGATTTCTGCAACCAGTGTCCACTTCAATACAACAGAACAATAATGTTGCCACACGTGTCTTCTCTTCCAAGTTTCCAAATTCAAACCTTTTGATAAGAAACTGCAAACCTCCAAGAGATAAAAGGTTTTCAGCATTTGTTATTCTTTCCTCTTTACTGAAGGTAGTAAGAAGCTGCTCCAACATAAGTACAGCTGTTTCTTCATTAAATTTAGACCTGTATTCTCCTGAGCCCCATGCTGCTTGAGAAGCAAAATCCAAGAAATGACGACAGTGTTCTGATTTCCAATTATCAATAACACGCTTCAAAATGAAGTTGGTTAGTGGCACAGCTTGACATTCCAATGTTCTTCCAGTTACTGGACATGTTCTATTTCCTTCACCAAACCATTCTGTGATAGCTACTCGCTCAAAGGTTTGGCCAGTCTCTAGGGTCACTGGGTCTTCAAACAAAAGCCCAGTCAGAGGGCATATAAAATCATGTGGGGTGCTCAAGAAGGATGGTCCTTCATCAAGATACTCACAATTTTCATTCAGTTCTGCACTGGGAAAAAATGTAAAAATGAGCAAAGAGTTCAAATGTTCAACGCAAAAGATGATCCATTTCTATAAGTGTTCCCTTCCACCCACCTTCAATAGAGGACCTTCTGTTATTCAGCTGCAATTGCAAAAAGTAGAAAATGATATTAGTAAAAATCCAAATTGTTTACTATTAAACAGGAAAAGGATAGTCAGGACTTCGTACATTTGCCAAAGAATCAGGAAAATATGCATCTTCGGGATGCAACAAAAGAGTAGAATCAGCAAGATCAACAGATTCCTCAGTTTGCTGCTTTTCAAAAACAGACTTTGCTAGCCTCCTGAGTGCCAACTCATGTGCTTGTTTATGTGGAAGTGCATTTAACACATGGGTGTTTACTGTTGTGGTTTGAAGCAGATGAGTGTTTTCAAATTTGTCATCAAGATTCCTTTCATCTGGACCACTTGCTCTCTGCAATCTTTGGGCTTTCTTGGCTACTACTCCGTCTCCCTACAGAGATGTTGCAAATTTTGATTTAGCCTAGCCCATTATATAAAATTTATTAAAAATGAAAAAGTTAACTTAAATTTACAATTTTTCATGCACATAAAAAAATCAACTCAACCCACAAAATCATAATCCAAATTACTTGGATAGTCTATTTAGAATTGACTATATGTTTCACATTGGTCACTCTACCTACCACAGCCTTCTTCGACGAGTAATACTTTATTAGTTGAAAACAAACTTACTTCTTAAAAAAAAAAAGTTTTAATACATTGAAAATTAATAAACAAACTTCAAAACAATATAAATCCTAAAAACAGTTTGGAATGTAGAATTTGTTTATTCAATTGGAGGAGACGTTTTTTTTCCTAAATATTTCCCTGATTAGTAAATACATGAGGAATACCATAATAATAATAAAAACTAAAAGATAAAAGGAAAAGCGCAAAGTCTCAGTTTAAGCAAATGTTATAGCATTAACCTCAAAAGCACATTAATTCTTATAAAAACCTACCTCACCACTCAAATAGAGAGAGCATCTTAAATGCCAAGTGATTTGCAAAAAAATACATCAGCAAGTATAGAGAAAAACATGTATAGCTTAACTGGCTGGGCAACATGCAAAAAGTGATGCTAGGTTGAAGAGAGAGCTACAAACTTCTCTGAGTTTCAAAAGGAAAACGCAATCCTACAGTTTCCGAAACTTTTAGTTTTAAGCTATTGCCCTAATCTCCATTGAACAGGATGTCCCATGTTAAATACTGGTGGTACATTAGTAAGATTGCATCAAAGATCACCAAGCCAAATAGGGTTTTCCCATAGTTAAACTTAGTGAAATCCTCAATAGCTGCTAAAAAATGCCCCTAAAAAAATCAAATAAAAAGGAAAAAGTAATAACTAAAAATTTAGACAATTATACTTACAAGATGAAATACATAATCTGGCTCAGTGTCATCATCTGCATACTTGACTATCTCTGAAGAGTGCGTTAATGCTTGTTTGTCTTCAACAGCAGAACTGTCAGAGCTACTTATACTATTTTCAAAGTTCTCTGCCTCCTTATAATCCTCCACTTCATCAACTCCTGGTTTATGTGAACGGCCAAAGACCGAGTCATATAAGTTTTTGCTGACCCTGGGCTGAGGTGAGAAAGAACCAACAGGATTGCTCATGTCCAGCGAGTGACTACTCAGACCTCTCTGCTGAAATCCCGGAGCAGAGTGGCTACTGAAACATCCCTGTTGAACTTCCTGAACAGATACAGAAGGTGTGGGGATGGAAGGAATGGATGGGGCTTCAACCCCCTCTGTGAGCCAATCCTTGTAATATACTGCAAACTGGTAAGTCCCACAATCCAGAATTTCATTATACACTTTATCAAGAAGCATTAGTTTCCTTGCTTTGCTAGGTGTATCTCCTAGAGAATCAACTTCCTCATTGTACCACACCTTCAAATGTGAAATATGTGGGAAAAATATATAGTCCCACAATTCAGGCAGCAAAGCTGTTCGAGCCTGGAAGGGTGAATCACAAAAAACTTGCAGCAGATGCTTTGCCGCTATTCTATCTTTCTTCTGTAGCTTATATATCACGCTGAGGTAGAGATGAGCACAAGCTGACAACTTATAATTTGGAATCCCCGATGTAAACCCATCTTTCAACTCATTCGAGTTTAGACCTGAAATCACACTAAGCTGCAATGAAGCTTTTTTCAACTCCTTTGCATTTGCACCCTCCTCAATGGCTCTTTCCACTGTTCCAATAGCTTGTTCAAGATTGGATATTACTTTGGACTCAGTAATGAGGTCTTCTTCTAATTCAGCAAAATTAAGAGAAGCAAAACAAGTGTGATGAATCAATGTCCGAAAATCCTCATCTTTGATAAAACGTTTGATGTAACCGCTCAAGATGGATATCATGGCTTGAACAGCAACTTCATCAAGAGCAGGTTCAGCAACCGTATGTTCAGTCCATGCATGCCTTCTTCTTCTGCTGTCATCAAAGCTATTGCTGTTTAGTGAACTTCTATTAGAGGTGCTATTTGAGGTCTCAGGTTGTTTCATGCTTCTCCTATAATTATCACTAAAACTTGTTCGCCCAGGCAGAAGTTTCTGAGGATTGTTGCCATACCTCTTATCTTCCTTTATATCCTTTCCTGACCTCTCTTTGTACCTCTCCCTTTCCCCAATTCCATTGGCATATTTGCCCTTACTTGACTCAGCCATATACAATTCATTTGAATGTATATCTTTATATCTCTCATTTTCTTCCACTCCAACCTCAACTATCTCCTTGCCTTGTCCAACCTCAACTATCTCATTACGTGTCAGCTCTCCCGATGAATGGATGCTCATTCTCCTAACACCCTGCAAATCTTCAGAACTTCTTATATCGACTTTCTCCCTTGTTTTCTTCTTTGACACAGTGTCCACTTTCTCCCTTCTGGTAAAAGTATTCCTCAGTCTACTACTCCTATGGGTAACACCTGTAGGTGATTCACCACTCAAACTAGATACCGATGACCTTGTCCTCGCTGTCCTTTTAACTGATGAAGAACCTGAGTTCTTCTGGTCAGGGAATGGGTAAAGTGGCATACTTACTGCTTTTTCAGAGGAAACTCTCGGCAACATCTTCGATCTCCTTCCTCTGAATCCTTCCTTAGCAAGAAGTTCCTCCAACGACATTGCCATTTCCACTGGGATCAATAATTATTCGGCATTAGAACCTTTCCCGAAGAAAGAAAACTAGGCTTGACACTTAGGAAAGAAAAAAAAAAATAGGCTTGACATATTCTTCTGCTAAAATCGTCCATTCAATCTTATTCTTTTGATCCATAACAAGAATTCTTAAAATGAATTAACACAGAATCCAATTATTCAAAAGTCAAAGAGCTTTAATTGAATAATTGATACTGAAGTATCCATTATTTCGATTCAACTTTGTTGATTTGAACTTAAAACAGAACTGGAGGGAAGGAAAAGAAAATTGAGCTAATATCTATTTAAAACAGTATTTGTCCTACCTTTAATGTGTATTTTATGATCAAATAACACATTCATGAAGCAATTTTATTATGTAATCATTTGAAGTTAAATCTAAAGTGTAAACACCTTCTAATTAAAGCTAAATCTACTTTAAAAACACCATTCCAGATTTATAAAATTTCATCCAGAATATTAATATTTCAAAGTTGATTTTTTTTTATTCAACTGTCAATTCAGAAGTTTATATACTCAATCTCGAACAGGGACTAGAACCAATGAAAAAGAAATATAAAAATATATGAAGCTAAAATTAAAATGCAAATAAATACCATATCACTGTTTTCTTGTACTTATCTTCAATTCAGAAGTCAAAGAAATTGATTGACAATTAAAATTTCTCCATATATGTATGCATACTTATACATAAGTTCATATTAGAATATATATAGATACATATTCATATATACTCATTTAAAACACCATCTTTACTTTTTTATCCACTTCCTCACAACCCCACAAAAAATTCAATAGAAATTTTAATAGAAACATAAAAAATGGTCAGCCCAAGCACTCGGGAGCTGGGACGGTTAGATGTCCGCAGCTTTACCTCCGGATGCAAAGAGACTATTTTTCATTTTGAACACATGACCTCCAAGGCACAATAGAGTTGCGCCAAGACCCACCCTCACAAATAGAAGAGCGCACACACACACACACATATGCATTCAAATAAACACTGTTGACTTCTTTTTGGGGAAAAAACCAGTATAAAGTTCAGAATAATCTTTCCTAGAAAATTACAATTTTGTAGTCAATAAATTTAATCAAACAGTTAATCCCAAGTCACTCATATACATACATTCATAGGTAAACATGTAGTTTACACAAGATTTAAATTATAAATGAAAAGAAAAAGGAAGAAGCAAATACCTGTGAGCTTCTTTGTCACAAAATCTCAAATAGCAACTCAACTGTTAATAACAATAATAATCTAAGGTTGAATGTGAATGGATTTGGGGTTTGATCTTCGATGAGGGAAATGGAAAGAAGAGCAGATTGGAGGGGAATGGAATATTTGGGAGAGAATTGGAGAGAATAATGGAGATTCTGAGGCATAGTTGTGGAATGGAAACAAACGGAGGAAAAAACAAACAGTATATAAAGAGAGAGAAATGAAAGCGATGAATTAGAAGAGGAAGGTAAGAGAATAGGCGACAATAGGCGCGATGGAGTGGAACAGAGAAGATGAGAGACAAATGAATGATGACAAACGAGAGAATCTAAAGAATTGAAGTTAAAACTATACGGGTCTGTTGGTTGTTGCTTTAGTCACGCTTGCAGGCCCTCCCTCAGTCTTCTCAATTTTTTGAAACGTTCAACTGCCGCCTCCTCTCTCTCTCTCTCTCTCTCTCTGTGGCTCAAGTGCCAAAGAACTTGCCAGGTGCTTTAAGAATCAGGTAATTTACACAAACTTTCCTATGGTCCGCCAATTGCCATAATTATCCGGACTTTCCTGTAGTTTAAAAATTTAGTCCGACCTTACCTAATAATACTTTTGTTAAAGTCAACCTCAGTCAAGGACGAAATGTGCTGATATTGTTCAAATTTTACCAAAATTCCTACAATACCCTTGTTCTTTCCAACTGATATATTATATACATATCTCTCTCTCTCTCACAAACCGTCCCCTCTCTCTTCAACCATCGTGGCCGCCACCGCTCTCTTCCCTCAAAACCACGTCCACCATCTACGAATGTCTTCAATCCATTTCCCTCTTCTTCTTCTTTTTTTCCTCTATTTGACTTCAACTTCGGCTACAAGAACGACGAAGAGGTGGAAATCATTCGACCTAGATTTACTTTTGTTGATGAGATCCGCCGACCTCTGATCCATTGTCGAAGATGTGGTAACGACTGTTAAGCTTAGGATTTTACAGGGGTCGATGTTTGGTGGGGAATTAATTGAAAGAATAGCACATAAGAAGCTTCTGTGCTTGTGGTTTGAGATTGAATCTCCAGTGGGTGGCAATTTTTATAGTTCAGTCAGGGGGCTAATTCAAGGAAGGAAGGAAGGAAGAGAAAGAACAGAGCTTCAATGGAGATCCCAACAAGCGTATGTGTGGGTTCAAAAAGTTATTTTTCTCTCTGCAATACAGAATCAGAGAAATTTTTCTTGGAACCCAATTAAATAACTTCGGAATGGAAGGTGAGCGAAAAGGGTCAGGCCATGGATAAGGATCCATCACAAACTTCAACAACCAACCTCCCCTCCCTAATACCAACCATATCATGAAACGAGACCACCGTCTTCCTCCTTATCAAGAACAATCCAGCAACAGCGGCGGCGGCGGATGGAAAAGCTAAGATGTGGGAGGAAACTGAGCAAGACGCTGAATTGAAAAGGAAATATATATATATATGACGCCACTCTTATAAAAAGCTTAGGGGTATTTTAGTAATTTAAGATAAGAATGTGAGGGTATTTCAGTAATTTTGATAAGTTTGTTAGTGTATTTGACGGTTCATCACACATAAGCAAGGTCGTGTAGAATATTTTTATTATTAGGGGAGGTCCGAGTAAATTCTCAAATCACAAGAAAAATTCGTGTAATTATGACAAATCATAAGAAAAGTTTGTATAAATTACCCTTAAGAATTTAACAAGTTTAAAATTCGACTTCTTAAATGTAAATAACTCTTTCAAAGGGTTTGTATAGCTATCAAGAAAATTTTATATATTTATATTTATATGTATAATATTTTTATTCTCCTTAACTCTTTTAACTAATAATATGAAAAAAATTTCTGTGACTTGTAACCATTTGTAATAAACTCTCCTTTTGAATTTTTTTACATAAAACCTCCCTCCTATTGCTCCACTATTTTTAAACAAAAATACCCCTTATTTAGTAATCCATTGTTAAGAAATGTGTTATTCTCCCTCAGAAACTGATCACATAACTGAAATGAAAAAGTCAGGGACAAATGTTGCTTAGAACCTGTGATACTCCGGATTTTCGAATGCGGGTTGGCCAAACCCACGCCCGAACGCTCGGGGATATCAAAAACAAATCGGTAATAAACGAACATAAAATACAAAAGAATAAATATAAATAAATAAATTTCTGAAAGAAACTAAAATGATAATCTATTAATTAAAACCTCACAATAAAATTTCATTAAATAATAAATTATTCTGATACATTAATTCTCCAAAGTAGTACAACTCGAGAATCCATGCTATGTGGATCCCTAGAAAATTCCAACTGAACAAATGACAGTAACAACTGTCTACATCAGAATACTGAAACATAAAGGAACTCCTATGTAGATAATTCAGAAGAGTGAAGTAGACCGATCCTTACTCAACACGAACAACCTCTACTCCTGACAAACATCTGAAAAATAATGGTGGGTCAGGCTCACAAACAAGTTCTACTCTATTACAGTCCAAGCAGAGATCCGATATACGTATACATCCAAGTCAACTCAACAATAACTAGTAATATATATACACACACACTAAGGAACCTCACTGAACTATAGGGCGACCTCAACCTGAATAGTAGGCAACATGCAAAACGCATATATAGTGGACATGGGTACCTAGACCTACCAGGGCACATAACGAACCATTATATCCAGTTACACATCGCTGACAATATACGCACCCTAACCATGATCCTGATACTCAAGCTCATATCATGACATCATAATCATATATATAAAATCAATCATATCCATCCTATCCAACTATAATTAATCCTCTATAAGTCATTCAACTTATTCAGTTGACCTGACTTAAATATAGATAGGACTTAACATTCTTTTAGTTAATCCATCCCTTTACGTAAAAATAGTTAGGATTTAACTAATAAGTTAATCCGTCCCTAGAATGCCACCGTCCCATACTGGTGCATTAAACCACACAATCCAATATGTGATGCAACAGATAAAGTAGTACATCAAATAATCCAAAATAACATGATAAAAATCATATATGTAATCCTTGCATATACTTAAGCAAAATAACAACTCTAAGTAGTATGCATTTAATTTAATTTAATTTTAATTTTTTTTGTACTCTATGTTCATTTATTACCGATTTGTTTTTGATATCCCCAGGCGTTCGGGCATAGGCTTGGCCTACCCGCATTCAAAATCCGAGGGTATCACAGAACCTTAAATGTAAGCCAAAATAGGCTAAAAGGCTAGGTCTTCCAAACCTGGTAGTGCTAAATAAAGTAGCCACATTGAAGCGCATTTGGGAGCTTCTCAATGGTCGCCATTATAGAATTTGGATCAAATGGTATTACTTATGCCTAATCAAGGACTCAAATTTTTGGGCCTTGAAGATTCCACAAGTCTGTTTATGGAGCTGGAGAAAATTACTTCAACTTAGGCCTCTTGCACTGAGACTAATTAGCTGCAATGTGGGTGATAGATCTTTCACTAGGTTGTGGTAGGACAATTGGTTGCAGAATGGGTCACTTATGGGTAGACTCTGTGAAGTTGAGATTGTCTTTACTAACATTCCACTAGACATAAGAGTTGGTGACTTCATTCAAGCAGGTTCTTGGTCTTTCCCTTAATCTCTCACCCTACTAGTCCCAAAACTTCTCACCCTCCCACCACCAAATCCACAAGAAAAAGATTCCTTTCAATGGATTCCATCCTTCATGAACTTATAGCATGAAATCTACCATTAACTACCTTACTAGACAATTCACCCAAGTCCCATGGTTCTACTTAGTATAGAAGTCAAAAGTAAGACATTCCCTAACCTTTGAATGACAACCTAATCAAAACTCCCAACATTGGACAAAGGATCTTTTTATCTCATGGGCTAGCGAAAATTGGGAGGGCAACTCTCTTCGAAGCACACTCTGTAAAATTGCTCTATCGACCACAGTGTATCACATTTGGAATGAAAGGAATGCAAGGATTTTTAGACAATCACATTCCTCATAGAATGCTCTGCCAAGGCGAAGCTCATCCTCCATCATAGAAAAAGTATTAGGTTCTGCACTTCCAGATATTGATGTCTTTAGTGATCTTCTCATCAATTAGCGATTCCCTCCTCGTGCCCATCCACTACCCAGACCACCTCCAACACTTGATAGATTGTTTGATCAATTAATTAATCGATCTTCAAGCTTCAAACCTGCTTACCGGATTGTTTTGAATTGCGCTTGATTACATCTAGTTCAATTGTTATCAACAATAATTCCCAACTAGTTGACATGGGTTGGGCCATGGTCACTTGGAAATGCTCTTTATTTGCTTGGGTCATACTGGCCTTTGTTTCTTATGTATGTAAGGTGCTTGAGCTACTTTGGACCCCTTGTAAATATTCCATTTATATATAAAATTTTGTTTAACCGTTTGAAAAAAAAAAATCTTTTTTTTTTTTTTTTTTTTTTTTTTTTTTTTTTGTACATATATACTGTTTGCACGAAAAATAACACTTAGCTCAGATCAAGGCCTACTGAGTGAAATGTTATGACCGAGTGAAAAAGAAGACGCAAGACCGAGCTGGCGCGATAACTTCAGAGACCATGGTGAGTTCATTCTCCTAGACTTTGCCTAGAGACCCTGCTAACTGCACTCAACAGACTGCTCGAACCTGCAAGGACATGCCAGGCTGACATCCCATTTCCTACTCATCCCAGCACACGCAAAGAATAACATAATCAAGATATTTTATGGAGCACTTGAGAACCCCAAAGCAGAAAGCATCCACAAGTGAGCGACATGTGGCACCCTACTCTAGATAGGGTAGTTATACTTATCAAAACCAGGCCTAAAACCACGCCAAGTGTCAATCACAAGCTGGTTGTTGCTCAAAAGACATCTCTCCCGTTAATGTCCAAAAGGATCCAAGGGTTAAGCAGTCTTAGCCTCAATTATATATGAAGATTATTTATGTCTAGAATAAGGTCCAGCACTAAACAGAATACACCTCAAAGTGTATAAATATATATGTGGCATGATCACATTTTATTTAGGTGGTGATGCCCTTAAGGCATTAGCTAGAGGTTTTTACCTCAAACTCGTTATACAATAACTCGTCCCCGGGCTTGCAAATTTGGGCCCTCGCTTAACGATGCCCACATTTTTTCCTTGTTATAACCCATTGATGTATTAGCATTTTATGTAGGAACCCTGTTCGAGTTAGTGCTCCGAGGAAGGTGGGGATTATATTGTAGTCATGACCAGACTCATGTAAGTCAGTAAGCGATCAAAATGTGAGCTTACTTTTTCATTCTTCTTATTTCAAGCCACCAATATTTGTTTGCACTGTTCGAGTCCCAAGTGTTGTAGGAGACCACATTTTCCCTGCTAAATTGTACCCTTACCTTCGCTCTGAAAGTAAAACCCAGGTTCACGCTTGCACCTAGGAAGCACCATTCTTTGTTAAGTCGCTCCTCAACCTTGCTTTGAAGAGTAAGACTAGGATTCACGCTATGTCCAAGACATAGAGTCGTGCCCACACTTAGTACTCTCAAACCAATATTGACCCTTAGTCAGCTTCGCTAAGACAGTGACATTCTAACCACTTTCTCCGACCCATCACTTCGACTCTCGCTCATTTGTTCTCTGATCCCTACATAAAACTAAAAAATACCAAAAAGAAAGCATAAAAGGATAGATTGGACCGCTGGCCTTTGATGGGATAAGGGCCGTGAAAGACCTATTAGAGGCTCATTTTTTACTCTCTGGAGCACTTCGAGGTCATATCATGGACACATCATACACACACTATTGTAGTAAGATTGCGGCCAGTTAATCAATTCCCCTCTCGTCGAGGAGGCCGAAGCCACCGCCACAAGAATATTAGCTTAGGCCCGGACCGGGACCTCGACTACCGAACCAGCACCACCTCGAGCAAGCCTTGGCATAACGGAGCTCCCTGGGAGGCCGTAGAGCATAGGGTGGACCGACCCGACAATCCTATGAAGGTGAGGATTCCCAATGGTCTTGTCATGCCCGCGTTGCCCAGGGTGAGATCAGGGTTGCTCCTGAGGGTGCCCCCTCATCTGGCAGGCTTGCAGACACCCTAATACGCAACGCCGAAGGGACTAATATATATATATATATATATATATCTAAAATTTAATAATCGAACTTAACTTATAGGACAAACAAATTTAGTTGCTTTCCCTTTCTGCATTCAATTCCATAGAAGTACAAAAGAAAAAGATATTTTATACTTCCGGGACTATTTCCTGCCCAAATTACTCTTTAATTAAAGCAGGTTTGATGTTATATGTGTTGAATTATCATGAATCCATTAAAGTAGAATGCAACACTATAAGAGATAAAACAAGATTAATTCCAATTATTTTAAGTGTAAGAAAAGAAAAAAGAAAAAAAGA